TCATCCTTCATCGTTTAGTCATTTTGCTTAAACGGTCGTTTTGTTCGTTCAAAATCTATCGGATAATTAGTTGGGTTTTTTTTTCTATAACCACAAGAGAAATGAAACTGTTTTGGGACTGCGAACTGGCAAAACAGAAAGCAAACAACTGTCATCTAACTTACAAATTTTAAAAGAGAGAAAGCATGCTTATCCTTCTTTACATAAATATTATACAATTCACATAAATGTACATGTATATAACAAAATAATTAACAGAATGCGATAGCCTGGAATCTGGCAAAACCGTAACCCATAACACTTATTATGTAATACTCGAACGGGGCAGAAACGGTTAGTGTCAAACAATGGATAAATTAAGTGCTGGTCGTTCACTAATAAGTAACATCCAAGTAGACCTTCTTTAAGGTTTGGGAACTGATCAAATTCATTCCAAAATCACGAAGCTGTCTGGGCTATAACATGGATTTAGGGCTTCCTTTTTAATGCTGAAATGTTCATTCTGTAAGGTAATCATTTCTCTTTTCACCCGATTATTAAGTAGAACCAATAACTTTTATTCTCAAAAAAATAGGAAAAGTTTTCAGAAAAAATATATGAATTTCTGTTGGATTTATTTCTTAGTAATTTGAAACCTATCTAAAACTTGGTATGAAATGTAGGTTTCACCTTTTGCAAACATATATCAAAACTACAATTCTGTATTGTTTTATTTAAAATTAAGCACAATTATTGCAAATTTCATAACGATATTTTAAAATTAATTTTAAAAAAAACGGCTTTTGTGACGAAGGGTCTAGCAAACTTTCCAAGACGTCTCTCAGAATTTGCAGTATGTTATAAGGAAATCACCTCTTGTCTTTCTCGAGATGATCTTTCTGGGTGGGTGCAATCGTCCGTAGAAGCTAAGCTAGAATTTAATATCAAGCGCACGTTACATAATATGCTTTGATAACTTAAAACACTGGATGGATTTAAGATATAATCTTGCAGCAGAAGATAGATCTTGTTTAGTATCTTTGTTGATATTCGTCGGGTTAGGGTTTACATTTACAAAAAGAGCACACTTACTGTTCCCGAAATAGTCTCAGATACAAGGCACCTGCGATATAAGGATGATGATCAAACGTTTCGCAAATAATCTCAAACATTGCGCAAATGATTCTCTCTTCGCAGACACTGTGTGCAAGGGTGGGTAAACAAAGCCAATTATGTCATTCAAATGCACCTCGCACTGAGTCAGCTCGAATCGTCACGGGATTGGTGGTTTGCACCTTGATGTGATTACGTCACGTTTGTAGCAAGAGGTTATGTTGTCTAAATTTTCGAAAGTTGTGTCTATAACACCCTCGCCAGGAAATTACACGTGGGGTACTTAAAATCTATTCTAACCAGTGGAATAAATATTGACAAGATCTGTTTATTTTTGCATACGAGCACGGCGCGTGCAATCAGATTTTTTCACAGAAAGTTGGATAAGAAGATCAGTGCTGACAGAGTTCCAGAAGGATTGATAGACGGGCAACCCCTAAAACATCATTAACGTCAAAATTCATCGGAGATGAAAACTTGGATATGTACATATTGTTACAGTTTTTGGTAGACCGGGCGCAATATTGTATCAGTGGACCTGAGTTGATTTCTATGGATATTGTCACAAACTTTGGATATAATTACTTTCGGATCTAGAATGGATATAATTGACCAACCACTTGTAGGAAATGAAATAGGTGAAGAGTTTCTTATTTCTTGTTTCTTGTTCTAATTATTTATACTGAAGAAAGATAAGATTATTTCCTATTACATGCTACAATAAAGAGGGAATAGATGAAACCTACAATTAAGAATGGTTTGCAAAAACCTTTTAGTTTCGCCTGAAATACTTCTTTATTTACTCTTTTAAGAAATGAAACAAATCTTAGAATTAAAGTGTTTCAAAAGAAAAATTAGAAGATCTTCAAATTAGTAGGTGTGCAACTGTGTTATTTGATAGAATTAGCTTATGTTTGTAATTTCACAAAACCAATTACGGGCAAAAATAAAGTCGGATGAGCACTACGGAGACAGAGTTAATATTGAGCAATTAATGGCAAAACACTGAGACGGAACAGAGATCGGGAAATAGATGTGATCCTTTCTCTGCAAGTGGTAACACATGGTTTTGATTACATGTACACATCTGTGCACTATCACCAAGTTATGTGTATGGAAGATAGTTAATTTGCACCCTGCAGGACGAAAAAAATATTGGTTAACATAATATTACGTTGATTAAAATAACGAAATAAAATTCTTCTGGAATGGTACCCTTATGATTTTTGGCAAGACGATAGTCACTTGGAGGGCTAGCGTCAAATTAGTATTTACATGGTAATATTGATGATGGAGGGAAAGGTGTAAGAGCAAACGGGTGTTTCGTCAGAGAGAAATGGGAAAAAAAGTAACTGATGTCACTTCATGTGTATTTTTAAGAGAAAGCTATGTGTAAAATATAGATTACAAAGAAAATCTGATCTGATGTACATTTGTAAGTAAATATCTTCCTCATTTTATTTTAAAAATAATTAAGTATTCATATTAAGATATTAAGATAGCTTGATATAATATATACTGAGTATATGTATATTTGAATTATGGAAGAATATTTTTCTTATTTTTTGAGAGAATTTCATGTCTTAGTGTTGAATTTTTAGCCTACTTCATGTATGGTGTAGAAGCATTAAATATAAAATCTAGAGACGAGATACCAGGGCATATTCAATGGATGAAATTGATCAAGATTACAAATCGTAAATTACACTTAAATGGGGTAAATTACTGAGCGATGAGGTATTTTATTTGCTTGACATCCGCAAACACTGAAAATATTTGTATATCGAACATGTATTTAATGAGATTAAAGTCATTAAGGGAATGGGAATGGCGCGAAAATGGTATAACTCTGGCTGCGTGGTTTGATAATAATCTATCATTTTTCTTGTCGGCAACAGTTTCACAAGCTGGATTTAAAGTACATATATACATTTATCCATTTTTCTTTAAAGTACAATGTCCGTTCTCGGTCTTTTGATATTTTTTTTTTTCGTTTTTTATTGAATCAAATGGTTTACTGCAATACTATACCGGAATGTTGAAATTGCTCAACCCCCTTAAAGAGATACCGAAATGCATCGATTTACTATGGAACTATACATGATTGATAGTGAGAGAGCTCATCGTTACCAACAGGGAAATTGCAATTTTCTTGATAATTATAATTGAATTACGGTCAAGTTTTAGTGTTAACAGTTAATATACTTCGACGCGCATTGCTAGGTTAGGCGTTTATACGGTAATAATTATACATTATTTATGAAGAAACAAAGAGATTGGAATGGCACCCGTAGCGAAACCGTACACTTAGGGTCGTAATTGTAAGTCCATAAACCGTATCTCTATCATAAATATATCTAAAATTGATGTCAAGGGTAATTGCAGGACACACGTTTGGTCAAAGTATTATACATTACAAATGAGAACCCAATAATAAGTATATATTTCCTATAAGTAACGAAATCCGACAGTTAACCCGTCTTTCGTAAAGATTATGCATATGGATGTAAAACAGGTATGCAATTTTAAAGTAAAGTTTCTTTCCGTTATTAATAATAATTACAGTGTAGATATTCATTGTTAAGTAAATTAATCGATATTTTTTATTATTATTTACAACATTTTCATATTTGATATGTGATATGATGATTTTCTTAATTGTAATTAAGGCAGGTACATTTTGTAAATTATTAATCAAAGCTCATTCACATTTGACTTTAAAAGTTAAAAATTTTTATGCGAGTGATTTATTTAGAGTTCAAATTTTTAAAATATTTTATTTACTGTACTTGAAAAAGAACACATGTACAAACAACTTAGGTAAGAATAATACCATATTGTAAATTGTTTTACATCTGTTGAAGTCATTAAAAAATTGATGATGTAAACATGTCATATTTCAGTGTTTATCTTATGCCATCCATAATACAGGAGAATTCTGATCTATCAGATTTAGTGAGGAAAGCATTTTGGGATAAAATGAGATATGCATGAATATACATGATAAATAAATTGATGGGCGTCGTTTATTTCCTTAAGGTCAAGATCTAGTAAATGACTTTAGACTGTCTTTTTGGTGCTAGATCCATTATGACGTCATAATTGATTTAAGCTTAATTTTTCCCGTACTTTACGCCTGTAAAAGAATTATGTAGCAAATAAAGCATTTTCAATGTATTCCATTTGAAATCATGTCAAAAGTAACCCCGATATCTATATTCAATTTAATATCATTTTGAAGTAGAGGTTAAGAAGAAATGAAAAACTGTTTTCTTAGAGACTGTGGGCAATATTCATACATTTCTTTTATCTGAGATGGAAAAAACTCCCAAATTTATAAATGGCTTTCTTCGTTTTTCATTAAAAATTACAGTTTAAAATATGTTTTTTCGTCTAGTTTATCAAAAAATTATGTCCCGAAACACCCTATTTTTGCAAGCTATATTTGTAAAGGATCATTAAAAGAACTTGTTTCTCAAATTTGAAAAATCTGTAGGCATCTTTCATTTACTAGATCTTGACCTTAAAAAATGGCTACCATAGAAGGACCTTAGATTTGTTTTCTAGAGTAAATCGACAGAATAAATATGGCTGATGTAAATGAAAATAAAATTTTCATTACAAGTAAGAAGTTTGAACAAAGGGGCTGTATTATCAATTCCTTTTAATGAATTTGTATTGCTATGCAGAATAGTGTACCAAACTTTGACGAAATTTTAATTTCTACAAAATTTGCAATGTCCTTTCCAAGAAGGGTAAACAAACGGCATGATTCATGTACTGTAGGTACATGTATCATGCATGCAAACAAGTACACATTTAACATGTTTAATATAAGGTTTCATATTTGAAATTACATGTATCATCCGACATTCAGTGATTTTCTTCTTTTTATTATGTATTTTTAGGATGGACAGTATTATTGGGTCTGTTGGTCGAGTAGCCAATGTAAAGGTCCGGAATGATGACGATTTGGTAGATCGCCTCAATCATTTCTACACCACAGGCATACTCATCATATTCACCGTGGTGGTTAGTGCCCGCCAATACGTCGGAGATCCCATCCGGTGCTGGTGTCCGGCGGAATTTCCGGGTACTCACGTGGATTACACGAACAATATATGCTGGATCTCTAATACTTATTACATACCATTAGACGAGGTAAAAGCTTGTTTAAGTGTAGCAGAAGAATTCCTTAGATCAAGGAGTTCTTCATGTATGACGAATTTTAAAATCATGGTTTACCTTTCCTGCAAGCTCGGGAAAAACACCTGGAATGTACTTACATCGCGGATGTTAAAATTTATACAAAATGGAGTCGCTTCCTATTAATTGTATATATTTTAGCTGATATCGTTGCATTCAATGAGGATTTGATGTAGACTCTATAGAAAAGAGTTGTCCTACATTAATTTCACTGTTTATAAAATGGGGAGGTGTCATGAATGTCTTCGTAGCACATTTAAGGTTGAGTTCCCGCTTGTCGGAAAGACCCGAGATGTTGCGATTGCATACTGTAATTGAAATTTGAATTCGATTGAAATGAATGAATTCGATTGAAATGAATGTAGGGAGACCCCTTCCCCATAGAGTCTAAAGCTTAACTTCATTGTACGTAAAGATATTACCCAAAATATACTACATGTACAAACCGGACAATCAACTCTGTCTATCCAAAATTTTTATTCCAGAGAAAGTGACTCGATTTTGTATAAAATTTTAACATCAGGTTATGTAAATACATTCGAGGTGGGTTTTTTTTTTTCAAGCTTGCCGGAAAGGCCCGAGAAGATACGATTGTGTCATTGAATAATCAAGCCAGAGGCAATATCTAAATGTCAAATCCAATTAATCCATACCATCACCATAGAATTATTACCCAACATCAACCTGTTTTCGGGGGGGGGGGGGGGGTAGGCTAGTGTGTATAAAAATAGTAATGTTTCAAAACAGTTCCGATTCATTAATTATTAATTTTCTTCCTGATATATAAGCTTAAAAATAATTCAAATTTTAAAGTGCCATATCTATTAATCTCCTCGCAACGAATTTGGAGGGGACATTGTAGCGCACTTGTATTTGTGTGGGTGAGTGAGTGCGTGTGCGTAACGGAAGTTACGCATTTAATAATTTGTATCGAGATCAAGTGCTCCTTTACGAAGGGATGCTCCGTTTTATGGCGCCCTTGTTTTATTTGATTCTGTAGAAGGATTATTACTTCTATGCTTCTCGTATTACTTCATTTAGTTGAACTCTCATAACCGAGGTATATTTGTAAATGAAACGTGGTACCCACTTTCTGTATTAAGATGAAAATTTTCATGTTATTTATCTATCATGATGACCAAGCTACCTTAATCAGGAACGTGAACACAGATATGCATGCTTCAATTTGCATCTGATCTCCTCGTTAACATCGTTACATGTACTATATTCCTCTATGGGTTTTTTTTTTTTTTTTTTTTTTTTTTTTTTTTTTTTTTTTTTGTGATTATACTTCATGAAAATCGATTGTGAAAATAAGACATTTTATTCATAGTGTTCACCAAATACTAGTATTCGATAATTTTGGTGAAATTTATTGCATATAATATATCAACTCTTATATTGTAAAGATTCAAAATTTTCATGGATATTTTAGACTTTTAATTATTCTCCTTTCCTAGAACGTCTGATGGGATTATGAGTTGAGGCCTTCGTCACAGCGGTGTATACAACACACAAAGTCCAATTTTTCAATGAAAATGTCGAAGTATATAATTATGACTTTTCATAAAAGTTAGCTAAATGTAAGATAGCATCTCTGTCCTTTTCTCATCGACTTTTTATTAGCACGATATTCCAATATTATCTTTCAAGCGTTAGAAAGGAATGAAATTATGTTATGATTTATGACATAAGTGTTCTGATTTAGCGCCCCCGGAGTATTCTTACTTGATGGTAGTAGTATTTTCCCATCCTTTATGTAAATTTGTAAAATACTGACAATTTGTATTCATCAGTTTTCCTTTAAGACATCGTTAGGCATGCGAGGAGAATCCATAAAATAACCATTTTTTGTGTTGTGAAGGCCAAAATAAAGGGGCTTTATAATGAGATATCTTATGAATCATGTTAAATGCGAGGCAAATATTAGAAAACATAAACATTTTGGTGTATTTCCCTCTTTTAGCACTTTTCATCTTGAGGCCTTGTATATTTTTCAAACAGTACTCAAACTCCCGAAAAACTGGGTTTTATCGGAGTTATGACTGGAAATTCCATTAGCTTGCCCAGAGCATAAGCTTAATGTATCTAAGAATCGCAACACACACACAAACACGGGCATTAACAGATTGTATCTTCTAGTAAGAGCAAATGCATTTGATGTTATCGTGAATTTACTTAGGATTAAGCAGACTAAGAATATACTAACAGTGCAAAAATGAAATGACTTCAATACATTTTTTCATCCTGCTTCATAAAGTATGAATTTATTGAATTAATCACCAACATTTATGTGTCTAGATAAACTGTTGTTTATTAATAAGTTCATTGCCGGAAATGCTTCAGAAAAGTCAGCGTCTGATGAACTTGTGAAGGGCAGCGAGGGCAATTACGTTCACAGATGTTAAAAAATAAACTACACCATATAGCTTCTGCTAAATCTAAAATAATATAAAAAAGTGGTGCAGGGTCGAAATGTTTTCTAAACTACGTGTAAACCACTCCAAAAAAGCCACGTTACTTCAAAGTTATCTTTTTGATGCTAAAGTATTTCTTTGTGCTGAGAAACAGGAACCTTGACGGGGGTCTTTGAAGTGTTTGTGTAAGTCTTAAAGTTATGTAATTATTGTTGAAACAAAAGTGACTCGTAATATTCAGTGTCATCTAAAAGCTTTGAAGTAAATATGATAAAGAAGCAGGATGTGACATTTCTCACCTTGAGCAATGCCAGGGGAGATCTGATGATATGACTGTGTTACAAAGTAGTGGTACAGTGTACGCAAACTGTGTCAACCTTCCCCCTTTTCTACATATCCTATGTAAAGCTTTTGAATGTTATTTAGTTATAGTTTTATCTTGCAAAACAAAGCTTTTTCTCTGTTCATGGTGCCATTCAAATCTTGGATAGTGTTTTGGCTATTGATTGCTTAGTTTTGCTTACAATGCGCACCTCAGGTATAATGGACCTACAAAATAATGTTATTTATAATAAACATGTTACAAAATTATTCGTAACACTTCTCTGAAAGTAAACAAAGATTGAGCTACAATCCACTATGAAAGCATTTGGTCAAGGAATTCTGATGAAGTTGAATAATCAGAGTTGCATTTTTTCATTTGTTTAGTGTTACAGTTCTGAAACTTCAATCGTTTCAGAAATATTTAATGACATTCATGATAAAATCAAGTATTTGCAAACAGCTTAACATTTTAATTTTTACGCATATATCTTAAGCTACTAAATGATTCAAATGAATTATTTCCAAGTAATGGTATAGAAAATGTTCTTATTTGCGATTATGATGTCAAACGATTTATTTTGTCTTTTTTTAGATGGTGCCGCCACAACATCAAATACATTTGCGGAGAGAAAAAGAGCTGAACTACTATCAGTGGGTTCCGGTAATGTTACTTGTGCAGGCACTCATGTTTTATATTCCCTGTATCATTTGGCGGATTTTAAATGGCCAGTCGGGAATAAATGTGGACAGAATCGTCAGTCTTGGTAGTAATGCTCAGTTTGAAAGTCCAGAAAATCGAGCTCGGACTATAAAATACCTTGTGAAACACATTGATAGATGTCTTTCAAATCAACGAGATACGAGAGGAACATGTTGTGTGCAACTACGACATATTTTGTCCACAAAACTATCCATACTATGTGGCCGACGGTATGGAAACTTTCTCATGGCAACGTATTTCCTCATGAAAGTTATGTACATTGCCAATGCAATTGGGCAGTTGTTCCTGCTCAATGAGTTCCTAGGAACAGATTATAATGTCTATGGATTCCAAGTATTAGACGAATTAGTTAATGGAAAAGAGTGGTCTGGATCGCACAGATTTCCTAGAGTGACTCTCTGTGATTTCCAGATTCGCCAAGTGACCAATTTACAGCAGTATACAGTACAGTGTGTTCTGCCAATTAATCTCTTTAACGAAAAAATATACATTTTTATGTGGTTTTGGCTTGTTTTTGTATGCATATTTTCGTGCTACAGTTTAACTAATTGGATGTGGCACATGGTCGTTCCAGCTACGAGGATTCATTATGTGCGAAAATTCTTGAAGTTGATGGAACGGTTAGGTACAGGACCGGACCGAAAACTCGCGACACGGTTTGTACTGGATTATTTGAGACATGATGGAGTGTTCACGTTAAAATTAATCGGAAAGAATTCTAGTGACATAGTGGTGGCGGAAATCATTGCAGAGTTATGGGACATGTACCGTAGCAAGAAATGTATCCAGATAAGGACTAATAACCAAAATTCTGGACATGAGACGGAAGAGGCGGATGTATGACTAGATAACGGTAGGATACCACGTGGTTTGAATGAACAGTTGGAAGAAAAAGAAATGGAAGATGACGTCACACAAGTGTAAAAGGAGTTCTGCGGGAATGGAGCATGGTTAATTATGGTTAATTCGACCATAATCGCTCTGAGTTGTGAATGACTCGTATGGATCATCTGTGTACTCTAAAGAACGTTTGCAACAACTAGACCAATATCTCCACTCTTACGATGGCTTTGATACAATTGCAGGTTGCACAAAGGGTGATAATTCCTTGCTTAGACTACTAGTAAAATAAAAAGAAAAGGAAATCGAAGACAAAAATATAGATACATGTAGTAGCAAAAAATGAAATTTTAATGAATCTGAAAAAGGGACAAGGATTTTTAAAATAAAAAAGATGCTCAAATAAGAACTCGGAAAATTAGAAAATGTTCAATGAAATTTTTATAACGTTATAAGAATTCCAAATTTTTAGAAATCCACAATCGACATTTGCACAATGTCTTCCTATAGCGTATAAGATCTACACCTTCTATGCATTTGTCGCGTTGCCTTCACTTAACAAAATAGCTCAGGAAGACCAGGACGAAATTTTCGCAAAGAATCTCCTTCTTAACAAACTTGGTGACTATAGCACAGATCATTCCAGTGTAGGGGAAACGTCAGTGTAAAATTAACAAACATACAAACGTGAATTTCATATGGGAGGCGTGCCAAAATCTTCATTAAGGCCTTAAACTGAAAACTGATTCATATGCAATCAAATGTTTTGCACAGACGTAAAAAAAATCTCCAAGGAGGTTCCTGTACATGTTTGAAATCCACCACGTGATCATAGAAAGCACAACATCCAAAGTTTGAACCAAATATGACAAAACTCTAAAGGTGCTATTACATTGCTTTTTACATTATCATCATGTGTTTAAGAGGTGTTTGTAATATTTTTCATTCTTCTAAAGAAAGCCGAGCTTTTTGTCATTCATGTTTCATTTTTCTTCATACATTTTGCCTGAGTAATGCCAGAAATATAGAGCCATATGTTGCTTTACAGTTAGTTGGTAGTTTGAATTTAAGATGAATTGGCTTTTGAATTTTAAAACAGAGATTTTGAATAATAGAATTAATTTTAATTTACCTGTGTCATTTTTTTAAAAAGATGTTAAAGCTGATGCTCTTTTATGTGATATTATTTCGTTGATTATCGCAAAGTTCTCCTATAATTGTCTTGAACAATTTCTTTTAACTTTTTGAAGAAAAGTAAAGTCTGGAGAGAACGTCAGGTAGCCTCAAATGTGTAAATAGTTCATGCCAATCGCTAAATAATACAAACTTTTTAATGCCCTGACTTATCAAGTATATGTTGTCAGTGAAACTAAAATTACATTGTATTATGCTTTGAAATTACATATGTACCAAAGAATATGACAAATAAGTCCTTCGCCATGAGGTAAAACAGATGACTAATGATTATTGTATCTGTTGGGTTCATTCCTATTATATGATGTTCTTCTAGTGTTGAAAACAATATTGTTTGCTTCAAAAACTTTCTCTTATTTAGTCCTTTGAAATTTTGGTCCTTTATCGTGATACTGGATGCACGATTTGAAGAAACCTCTATAAGTGATAGCATGTCTGATGTTTGGGCAAAGAACAAACTTAAATTTTGATAATTTTATCACTCAAAGAGTCTTCTTAAGGATAGATCTTTTAAAGAGAAAACTTTGATAAAAAACGCGAATTTAACGTAAACTTTTTTTGTTACAGAACATGTAAATTTTACCCCCCTCCCCTTTCATTTTCTGTCTTCTTGTATAAATTTCTCGTTTTTTCTTTCCTTTTTATCCTTGCAAGATTAAAATTTTCTCTCAAGAAAAGAATAATATTTGGTCGTTTAAAAAAAAGGAAAGTGAATGTTTTATTCCCCACAAAGTTAAAAACCATAAACTGAAAAGGTAAACATGAAATGCTTTTCTATTTTACTGTGTTTAAAATTGACGGGGAACAAAGTAACTTACATAATTGTACATAATCTTCTGTGATGAATTATATTTTTAAATGTAATATTGATTTTCGATTCTCTCATATTAGGCTCAAATTAACACGATTGTGTGTGTGTAATTGTTATTTTGAAGTTGTAAATCGATTGTAACATCTGACGTTTGTTCACAGAAAATTTATTAACTTGGTACATATATATCTGGGTTTTCTCTTGAATCAAGTAGACCAGTTGGATCTGTACAAACATTCATCTGGACCCCTCGAACAGCCTTTCAATATTCGACAACTTATGTTATATAATCGTTGTTGTATCTTTTGTAACATTAAGGTTTTCTATTATCTGTTATAACAAAGTGAACAGATGCTACATGTATTATCACGTTGTTCGTAGTATTTCTAATTGTTGAAATCAGACGGAAAGGCTTTTTTCAAATAAATTATAGGTAAAAAATATAACTGTAACTAAAAAGTACAAGTATTAATTTTTCATTGCACGAAATACAATACATATGCACAGAGAAACTGTTTCAATCTCTCATTGAATATGCTTGTGCAAATAATTAACCCATGTCCGGTGATATAGATCTTTGAGGAACAATTACATCCTAATCATGCAAATCACAAAGTTTAATGAAATGTTCATCTATAAATTGTTGGAAAAGCTGCTTGACATTAAAATAAAAAATTGTTCAAGTTTTGAAGATATTTATTGAAATAGTTGTTTTATTTGTATTCAACAAGAATATTGTAAATTAGAATTATATTTCATTGTTGCATAAAATTGTTTGTTTATTTATTATGATTGTTCATTTTCCTATTTATACATGCAGAATCTTTCAATGTAATGAGTGATATAATACATGTATGTTGCATATTTGATACTGTACAGGTTTCATGAATAAATTCAAGTCGATTATTTTTCAAATATTGATTTTATTGTCTTGTATAACATTAAAAAAACATCGACATTACAATTCTTAAAAAAACAAAAATCAAACAATTATATTATATTCCCACATACATTGTACATAACTATGCCCTGGTTTGTGTTAGCTATCTCTTTTATCTGGAAAGAAAAAAGATTAATTTATTCATTACATATACATGTATGTTTAAGGGACATAGACACAGTTGCATTGCCGTTTTGTTTACAATATCAGTTTTCTATTTTTTTTTTTTTAAAAATAAGTAAGTTTATTGACTTGAAGTTGTATGAAAATTCTTAAAATTCACTGACAACGATAAAGGGTTTCTTTGTAACATTTGTAACGTTTGTAAACAAGGACAAAAGCTCCATATGTGCGATTTGCTATCCCTGTACACATCACTGAACAAGAACTGACAACACTGGTGTGTTGGTTTTGCATTCTCGGATTTCTATTCTTTTCCTGATTAATAGTTTTTATATCTTTTAGTCTGCAACATCCGTTTCGTATTTGGATGTTTAGACGATAAGGGCCAACTAACAACTAAACTGTTTAACAAACGAGATGAAACATCAGCTTTTCCATCGTCAACTTTACTTATTTGTTTAATGATGTTCCGCTATCACCTTCATATGGTGTTTATGTCTCCAAACTTATTCGATATTTACCGAGGTAGATTACTGACAGATAAGTTGATGTTACAGGGATTTCAACAACTAAGTTGAAAGTCAACATTTCGTAAATTCTATGGTCGTTAAAATGACCTTGTTAGCAGATACAACTTACATGTATCACTGGGTCGTATTTTGACTGACATTTTTCGTAACAATTGTACGGCCTTTGTGTTTATACTAAATTTGACTACAGATATTCAGTCTACCTGATCAATACATAGGACTCACGGCGGGTGTGAACGATCGACAGGGGATGCTTAATCCTAGGCACCTGATCCCACCTCTGGAACTTCCTGGAGTCTTGTTTCATGCCCTGATTACAGATTTGTATTGTTTATATGGTTTTTAATAGATCGATCAAAGTTTTATCCTAACCTTTTCATTATCATTACTCCACTTTCCTTAAATACTGAGGATAAGTTCCTAGAAAGTGCAGGAATGTAAAACAAACAAACACGGCCAAAATTCATACTTTTGATAACTTTAGAATAATAGAAGTTGCTAAGCATCCTTTAAAATATATGGAATCTGTCTGAAAGCTCTAGCAACGTGTAAATCGTGAATTTATATCGAATTTTTTTAAATATATTAATACTTACCTGGTATACTTGAGCATGCAAAACTAAAGCTTCCCTGCGTTAGCTTATATCTACAAATTATACGTTAAATTTTTTACTCAAATTTTTTTCAGACGTAGTTGACAAATGAATGGCCATGGATGTCTGATTTTTTCCCATGATTATATAATTACTCCAGACTGAAATATCTATTCTTTAATTAAACTAACTACTTAGTTAAATACAACCAAGTCGACACTTATAATAGCGCCAAACGTACGAGGAGAGTTCTGTATAGGACCAGTGGCTAAAATTTGTTTTTGGAAAGGGGTTTGTTAGTCATCTTTATTAAAACACCTCTTATAATGTACTTGAGTGGCAAAAGAACTTCAAAATCATGTCTAACCTCAACCTTACGTCAAGGAAGCACATTAAAGCTTACGTTAAGGTCATAAACCAAATAATCCTAGAGTACACTAGCTTGTAAAGATGTGGTCAGTCTGAAAAAATATTACCTAAAGTAATTGTTACCAAGGGAATACGTCTTCCAATCAAAATCCAATCAAAATAGAGAAATAAAAATGTCCAAAGGGAGCAAAAGACTGCAAATCATAATGCGAATCTCCTTAAATAATACACTTCCTAAAGCTGACTAGGCATTAAGGACGAGGTCCTGAGAATAGAAGATGGAATAATAAAACTATTCAACATTCAGTTCTACAACTAGCCCTCTTTTTTCTTCTAACACTGAATTTAGGGAATGATTTGTGTTCTTAATGAATTTGTTAGTTTCTGTTTGCTGGACAGTTAGTACGTTCATGATGAAGGGAGGTAGACTTTTGTATAAAGATTCTTCAAAACCATAAAGTCTACAGAGCACATCACAGAACTCTTACTTATTGAGATAGGAGAACGGAATACGTATATGACATTTGGATATAACGGACAGTATTCAAGCTCAAAGTCCATTAAAACAATACAAATCGGGAGCAGAGCAAACACGAACCTCCAAAAACATCAGAAGTGGGATCAGATGCCATGGAGGAGTAAGTATCCCCTGCCGACCGGTCACACCCGCCGTGTGCTCCTTGTCATGATCGGGAAATAACGGAAAAGTCCGTCGACAATTCAGTGTGTAAATAATGGCCTAACAATTAGTATGATAAACGTTAGTAAGCATATGACTTAATGATAGATTGTATTTGCTGATAAGGTCATTGTATCGACCATAGAACGTACGAAATGATGACTTTAAACGAGACTGTTGATATTCTTCTTTCATCAATTTGTTAGTTAATAACTTAACTCGTCTTAGAAATTGTTCATACATGTACGTAGAGCATGCTCTTGCGTATCGAATCAACTGAAAGATATGCACCCCATATTCAGGTGATAAGGGTATATAACTGCACAAGTAAGGGAAGATGATGATTGAAAAGTCATCACGTTTATCATATAGCTTTGTTGTTAGATAACCATTAACATCTTTTTCTAGTAAAATATCTTAATTTCACAAAATTATATTTATTTAATTTCCAAGTTATTAACTGATACATGTAGTTTGTTGCTTACCGTAGAACTTACATGAATGCACGTGCGACAAATCTGAATCGTTCGATCGTGTTCGTGAAACTGAAAATGCACAAGTTTTGACTGTTTTAACAAAAGCATAATCCTCTACCATATATGTTTCATACACTTCTAACAAGGTTTTTATTTTATTTTATTTATTTTTGATAATTATTCAATAAATCATCATTAATCAATCAACTTATACACAAGAATTATCAGTAAATAACTTTCACCTGAAAGCCTGCAATAAACAATTTACCATGCAAGTAAAATATACCTTTTAAATACTCTTTCTAGTTGGAAGTTTTATACCTGGAGGATTACTGTATGTGATTGTCAGCTGTTTTTCTGTGAGTACAGATTTTCTCTTTCTAGAAATATTCATCATCAAATATTGGATTTT